AATTTAGAAAATATTATACTTGTCCGATTTTTGTTGGTCGGTAGATGAGAGAGACGATAAACGAGAGAGAGAGAGAGAGATAGTGAATTATGTGGAAAATAAAATTATATTCCCCTTAAAAAAAAATTCCTTGATTTTGAAAAAAATATGACCACGTAACAAAATGTAGGAAAATATTTTACATGAAAAAAATGTCAGTCAAACAGTACAAAAGTAAAAATTTTTGGTAAAAAAATATATTTTTTATTAAAAATATTGACAATCAAACGAACCCTCAATATTTTTTTTGCTACCAAACTATCTAAATTCCTTTTATTCATACCATTTTCATTTTGAAGATTATCTATCTATGCCCTTGTTTGAACCACATTATTGTCAAAATAATGTATTTTTGAATAGTGTATTGATGAAAAATTTGTGATTAAAAAATAATAAAAAGTTATAAATTTATGTGTAATATTATTTATTAAAAAATATGTAGTTAAAATGATATGAAATTACTATTTAAAAATATATATTTTTTTAAAAAAAATGTGGGTCAAACACGGTCTATACCTATACCACTAATATAAGCGTCAGTCTTGTCCACAAACATCTTGGAAACCTCCATTTCCTATTCGAAGTCAAGACTTGACTTTTCTCTCTTCCCACTCAGTTTCGTCAGTTCCGATCATACGACGTCGTTCGATCTCTACACGCCAGCAACCTTACCGTGACCTCTATCGCCGCACTCTATCTACTTCACGAATCACGAACCAATTTGTTAATGATTTAATGAAGTATGAATTTGAATGATTGAAGTCGAAGTGTTTTCTCGTCAGTTGGTGCCAATCTGATATTTTTTGCTGCATACAATTCGTACGATGCAAACAGGTTAAATGATTTTTCTGCATTTCTCATGATTTACTAGAAATGCAATTTTATCATATTGATAGCTATTTGCACAATGGAAAATAAGAACTATAAGCAATTTTGCTCTGAATTTCAGGATATGATATCAAACATTTGGCTCGAGAAGCTCAAAGTCGGTGGCTAAAGCCTGCTGAAGTGCTTTTCATATTGCAGAATTACGAGGAGCACCAGCTCACGCATCAAGTTCCTCAAAAACCATCCAGTAATTTCATTACTTCACATTTATTCAAGTCGGGCTTTTTACCTGATCTTGATCTTGTTTGTATGTCTCCAATGATTGCTTAAACAGGTGGATCTTTGTACCTATTCAACAAGCGAGTCCTGAAATTTTTTCGTAAAGATGGTCATAGTTGGCGCAGAAGGAAGGATCAGAGAACTGTTAATGAAGGACATGAACGGCTTAAGGTTGCTTATGTTGTTCTCATATTGATGTGCATCATGCTTCTTTTGGAATTAGCTAAACGAAAGAAATAGATAGTTAAAGAAAGGGGGTTGGGGGGGGGGGGGATGGAAAATGCTATTAATTGATATTTATGAAAAAATTTCTAATCAGAAAGCACCAGAAGAGAGTGAAAACATCTTGCGTGTTTCTGGTCTTAATTACCATCAATTGTCAGCATAACTATGAAACCAATCTTGGAAATGTTGATAGACGTGCATGAATATTAAAATCATGGAACCTATAGCCATCTCATGTCATTTGAAAGTTTTAAGGCTGCACTGCTGACAACTATCCGAACTGTCACTGGGGAAGAAGATATATCCCTATATCAGTTTTGTAGTATATATGAGACCCCGATTAAAAGTTCTTTGCAGTTGATGATGGAGTATGCCAGTTGTAATCTCATTATATGAAATTTTTCTTACGGCTAGGTTGGGAATGCTGAAGCAATAAATTGTTACTATGCGCATGGAGAGCAGAATCCTAACTTTCAGAGACGCAGCTACTGGATGTTGGACCCGTGAGTTTTGCATATTTATTAGATGTCACCTTTTCTACAGTTGTTACTTCTAGTTTAGACTAACGTGACAGTAGAAATAAGATTTATTGAAGTTTCGATCACACCAATATCATGTTTTTTTAGTACTAAAGATGGAAAAGGTTGTCCAATGCATGTGGTGATGCATAGCTTCCAACAACTTGACATGCCCTGTTATTTTTAAGATAAAGTGGGCTGTGGAATTTGCTGGGCTATTTTCCTTTCTAACTCATTATGCTTTCTTTTTGTCAATTTTTTTCTTTCCTTTTCTTGGGTTAACAGGGCTTATGAGCATATTGTTCTTGTTCACTACAGAGACATTGAGGAGGTGAGCCTTCTGAACCTAATTGTGGACAAAGCGCATCAAGTAATTGTGTGTACCTATATTTTTTACCATAACCTACAAAAATCCATAAGGCACTCACTTTTACTGCTTTTGTGCATTTTTTTTCATTTTAAACTCGCTATATGTTCTCATTTCATTTGTGTACTTGGTAGAACTGAATGGCTATTGTTGAGAATCAGATGGATTCTTGACTAAGGCAGAAAGGAATGGAAGCTTGAAGATGAATTTCACATTTATTGATGAATTGAATTGAATGAATTGTTTACACGAGACCTGAGCTACATTTATACTACAACTTGCCAGTATAATGAACTGAAATAACAGAATAACAGAAAATAACTAACTCCCCTGAACTGTAATAACTAACTCCTCTTCCCTGCTCGTTTTTCTTCTATTTTCGACTTTTCATCTTTTCTTTTTAATTCCATGCTGTCAATGTGTGATGCAATACTCCAACACCCCCCTAAAGGTGAACATGTATGTTGAGAAGGTTCATCTTGCGAAGAGTGTGATGAAAAGGTAAAGATCCGAGAGGCTTTGTAAAGACGTCTGTGAGTTGAAGCCTTGATGGAATGTGGAAGAGTTTAATAACATTTTGTTGCAACTTTTCACGAACAAGATGACAATCAATTTGAATGTTCTTTGTCCTCTCGCGTTGGACTGGATTTGTGGCTATGGATAATACTCATTTGCTGTCTGTATAGAGTAAAGTGGTTGTGAATGAAGAATGTTCAGGTCCCATGAGGCATTAAGGAGCCATTGAATTTCACATGTAGTTGATGCAAGTGCTCAATACTCTGTATTTTTTTTTATTCAAGAAGTTTGACCCCCCCGCTATTTATTTTTTTCATTTTATTTTGGGGACTTATATTAAATTGTAATGTGTCTCATAATCGAGAAAAAATTTTTGGGGGTCATTTCGGTTTTGGATTTGGGGCAAATAGGTTCAAGAGATGAGAAAATTAAGGATACACATTGAAAGACTAACCTAATCCATAATGCACATTTTTGTTAGTTGACAACCATCAAGCGAAGCAAATACACATTTATCTTTTCATCTTTCGTTTCCTTTTCGTTCGTTTCGAGAAATCTATCAATCAATTCCTATTCTTTCTTTTTCTCTCGATTCTTTTCCGATCGAACTATATAGATTCTGTTCATGGATTAACGAAAATTTGCAAAAGCTCTATTTGCCTTTGCTAATGATCGACTGGTGGAGACTTGTTTCTTTGATTTCCATGAAATCAATGAGTTGCCAGGAAAGATTGCAAAACCAGTGACAGTTCTTTGAGTGTCTATGCAGCCTGCTCAATCACTATCTGGAAAGGCCTTTAGTTGCAAAATCTGAAGATGGAAAGAATAGACATTGCCTTGGTGTAGCCTTTAGGTATCTTAACACTCTATTTACTGCTTGATGATGACTTACAGTAGACGTCGCAAGAAATTGACTTTGTGCTTTGACGGATTAGGCTAAGTCAGGCCTTGTAGTTAAATACAATAATCTACCAACAAGTCTTCGATAGCCTGATGGATCTTCATATATTTGTGTTAGTTGCAGTGTCTTCGAGGATGTCAAGGGTATATTTTCTCTAGCACAAAGAGATACCAGTTTTGGACCTTACATTCTCTAAACCAAGAAAATACTTCAGCTACCCTAGATCTTGGATGGTGAACTTGTCAAGTTAAAAGGTTTTCAACTGTTGAATTTCCAGAATGCTAACACTGGCCAGTAACACATCATCCACATAGACTAGCGAGGCAATAAAGGAATAGTTAGATTTCTTGATGAATAGAGATAAACCAGAGTTGCCTTGGACAAAACCATAGTTGATAAGAGCATTAGACAGCTTGGCAAACCATTGCCTAGAAGCTTGCTTTAGAGACTCTTCAGAAGTCTGCAAGCTTTCTGTCAACCTTTTGCAGTCAATCCAGGGGTCAATTCCATGTATACCTCTTCACGTAAATCTCCATGTAAAAAAGCATTATTTACATCTAGTTGGTGTGTCAATGAGAGATCGATGAAGATTATTTACCATTTTTATATTGTAATCATATTTGTATAATTCTCTTTCCGTACTTGTAAAATTCTCTTTCCATATTTATATAACTTTATTCCTATTTAACACAAGAATCTCGAATGGGAAGATCATTCAATCTAAAAGATTGTTATGGTATTAGAGCCTACCTCCGAGATTGCTGAATCATGGGCTCCTTCCGTTGGTCACTGAGTCATGTAGTGGCATCTTGGGTTGTGGAATTGGGGGAAAACTATCTGACTTCCTTCACAGGTGGGAGTCAATTCTCTGTAGGTGGTCGGAGCTGAGTCTGAGATTCTCCAGCGTTTCTGTGTGCGAGGCGTTTCTTTGTGTGCGGCGTTGCTGTGGTTACTATTTGTGCAATCAGCGTGGGAGATCGCCTCTCAAGTTATTGGCGTCTTCGTCAGTGTGTGCGACGACCAACAGCGGCTCACATTTTGTTTCTCCGATGATTGATGCGAGTCCGTGGGATTGCATCTTCGTGATCGGTGTGAAGCAATGTGGGTTTGGCTGTGATTTTGGGTTTTATTAACTGGGCCTGATCAGTTAAGGTGTGTGGGTTTGGGTGTGGGCTCGGTAATTGAATTGGGCCTCTTGGAGTAAGTTGTGCGTTTAAAAATTGAAGTGGGCTATGGTTATTTTTTTTTAATTTCTAAGTGGGCTATTGTTCAAAGTGGGCTTTGATTAGGGTAATTTGTGGACTGAGGTTAAAATATTTTGTGATATTCTTACATTGAGAAGTCATGTTGATCAAGGCATTTTGTGTTAAATTCACATGAAAGAATTATTCAATATGTGAATTTCAATTCAAGATGTTCTTAAAAAGGAAGGGAGCTTTGGGGTCATATATGATGGGTCTTCTAAAGCACCTGAAGATGCTAAAGATCTCATTGCTTGGGAAATAAAGGATGCTCATATTATTTCCTGGATTTTGGGATCTATGGAAGCACACATGGTGAATAATTTATGCTCCTTTACTACTGCTAATGAAACGTGGGAATATTTAAAGCACATTTACTATCTAGACAATAATGCTTGAAGATTCCAGTTGGAGTTAGAGATTACCAACTACACAAAGGATAATCTCACTATTGAGTAGTACTACTCTAGCTTTTTGAACTTGTGGAATGAGTACTCCGGCATAATTCATGCCAAGGCTCCTGCGACGGCATTCTCTGCACTACAAGATGTTCAAGAAGTTAGTAAGCGATATGAGTTCCTGATGAAACAACGACCCGAAATTGAAGTGGTTTGAGCGGGTTTATTGAATCATGATCCGGTTCCTTCATTGGATTTGTGTCTGGGTGAACTTTGGGCGAAGAGCAACAATTGGCTACTCAAGCTGCTATGGGAGCTGATTTCTCCTCAGCTAATGTGGTCAAGGTTGCATATGCTGCTCAAGGACGAGGGAAGGGTAAACTTCAGTGCTTTCGTTGCAAATGATACAATCATATTACTAGTAATTGTCCTCAGATAGTTTGCAATTATTGTAAGGAACTAGGGCATATCACCACAAACCTCCACATTTTAGGCTAACATTCGAGGTACTACTTCAGGGCCTTCAACCTGTACTTACCTTCGAAATGGTCTAGCAGATGATTGCTTCCGCTTCCTCTGCCTTGGGGTTACAAGGTAAGGGTTTAGTTGTTTCTTCTCCTTGGTTTGTTGACTTAGGAGCATAAAATCACATGACAAGTATTTCTGATTCATTGAATAATATTCGGCGCTATATTGGCTCACAATATAATCAAATCGCTAATGGCAGTACTCTTCCTATTACTGTTGTTGGTGATCTTGGGTTTCTATTTGGTAATGTCTTTGTATCTCTGAACTTATCTACAAACTTGATTTTGGTTGGTCAATTGGTTGATATTAACTGTGATGTATATTTCTCTCGTGCTCGTTGTCTTGTGCACGATCAGGGGCCGGGGAAGGTGATCGGGCCTAAAGTTGAAAGATTATTTCCATTACAGTTCACTATTCCTAACGTTATGTCTTTGGCTTGGATTAGTGTTGAACTCTAGCATGAGATTTGGCATAAAAGATTAGGGCATCCACACACTTTAATTTTGCCTCATTTGTTGAAACGTGGTTTCTTTGGTAATAAAGATCAGTTTCAATTCTCCAATTTGAATTTTGATTGTGATACTTGTAAACTTGGGAAAAGTAAGACTTCCGTTTCTGACCCATGGCAATCGTGCTGATAAATGCTTTAAGATTATTCATAGTGACATTTGGGGCATCACACCTGTCACTTCACATGCTCAATATAAATATTTGTGACGGTTATTGATGATTTTAGTCGCTATACTTGGATATATTTTCTTCAATCGAAAAGTGAGGTTAGTACCGCTCTTAGAACTTTTGTAGTTTACATTAAGATAGTTTTCTGCTAACATTCAAATCCTAAGGTCTGACAACGGGGGAGAATATATGTCTCATAATTATTAAACCTTTTTGCAACAAAAGGGTATTCTCTTAGCGTTCTTGTCCATATACTCCACAGCAGAATGGTGTAGCCGAAAGAAAGAATCGGTACTTGTTGGATGTTGTTCGAGTTTTGTTTTTGGAATCTTCAGCTCCGACTAGATTTTGGGTCAAAGCTCTAGCCATAGCCGTATACCTAATTAATTGACTTCCTGCTCAATATTTGAATTTTGACTCGCCTCATTTTTGTCTATATGGTACGCATCCTAATTATGATATGTTACATACTTTTCGATGTGTTTGTTTTGTTCATCCGCCTTCTCATGAATGTCATAAACTTGCTGCTTAATTTTTAAGATGTGCTTTTATGGGTTATAGTATTGCTCAGAAGGGTTTCATCTGTTACGATGGTATTGCTAACCGCTTTCGTATATCTCGCAATGTCGTTTTCTTTGAAATCAATATTATTTCCAGCAGCGTGTCATGTCCTCTTCTTATTTAGCTCCACTCAGTAAATTTGAGGATGACTCTCGTCTAATTGAACGTTTTAAGCCAGGTTTAGCATATCAGAGACACTAACCTTCAGCCCCACCGCTTCTCCAGACTCTACTAATCTTGGGCGATCCACTCGCATTACTAAACCTCCCAAATGGTATGGTTTCTTTGCAACCTTATCTCATATCACTGTTCCTACTACTTATTTTCAGGTAGTTACCCAACCTTGTTGGGAAAAAGCAATGCAAGAGGAACTCTTGACTGTTTAGGAGAATCACACTTGGAATATTGTTCCTTGCCTTTTTGGGGTCAAACCTATTGGATGTAAGTGGGGCTACTCTACTAAGCTACGCTCTAACAATTCCTTATATTAACATAAAGCTCGGTTGGTGGCTCTTGGTAATCGCCAAAAATATGGAGTGGATTATGGGGTTTTTTTAGCTCTCATTGCGAAAATGACCACGGCTCTTGATATAGCTGCCTCCAAGGATTGGTCTTTGCGACAGATGGATGTTAAAAATGCTTTTTTGCATGGCGATCTTCAGAAGAGATCTATATATCTCATCCAGCAGGTCTCTTCTCCAAACCCTTCTTGATGTTTGTAAGCTAAAGCGTTCACTTTATGGGTTGAAACATGCTCCTCGTGCTTGGTTTAACAAGTTTTTTTCCACTCTTTTGGGATTCTCATTTACTTAGAGCCAGTATGACTCATCACTCTTTATCTCTGTCAGCGAGGCTGGTATTGTACTCCTTCTTGTCTATGCGGATGATATAGTTATTATAGGGACAGACTTGGGATTGATATCTCACCTTCAAAATCGACTTAAGGAATCGTTTCATATGAAGGATTTGGGACCTTTACAATATTTCTTAGGTCTTGAGGTGCTTTCAACTCCGTTCGGGACTTATCTGCATCAACAATAAGTATATGGAGGAGTTGATTACATTAGCTGGACTTCCGAATGGTAAAGTTGTTGACACTTCTTTGGAGGTATATGTGAAGTATCGCAAGGAGGAGGGTGATCTTCTTTTTGATCCTTTTTTATATTGTCAGCTAGTGGGTAGTTTTAATTACCTTACTATTACACGACCTGATATCTCTTTTATTGTTCAACAAGTTTGTCAATTCATGCATGCTCCACGATATCTTCACTTAGCCGCGATACATCATATTATTAGATATTTGATTGGTACGCCCGACATGGGTCTTTTCTTTCTAGCCAACTTCTCTCTGAAGTTCATAGGTTATAGTGATGCCGTTTGGGCTGGATGTATGGACACTCGTTGCTCGATTACGGGTTTGTGTACGTTTCTTGGGAGTGCGCTTATTTCATGGCGATGTAAGAAGCAAGATTGTGTTTCTAAATTTTCTACCGAATTTGGGTATCAGGCTATGTCATCTGATTACTCTGAGATTGTCTGGTTTTCTAGGTTTTCTGGCGGAACTTGGTTACCCTCAGCTTGAACCTACTCCACTTCATGTTGACAACACTAGTGCCATTCAAGTTACTGCTAATTCTGTGTTTCATGAATGGACTAAGCACATTAAAGTGGATCGTCATTCCATACGGAAGGCTTATGATGATCGAATTATTTCTCTTCCACGTCACCACTAATATTCAGATTGCTGATGTGTTTACTAAAGCAATGACGAGACAGCGATACCAATTTCTAGTCAACAAATTGATGCTTCTTGATCGTCCAGTATCAATTTGAGGGGGGATGTCAATGAGAGATCGACGAAGATTACAAGAATCCCGAATGGGAAGATATTTCAGCCTAAAAGATTGTTATGGTAGAGATGTCAATTTTTTTATTGCAGCCACAGCAAGTAGGAGTCGAATGGAAGTGATTTTTGCTACAAAAGAGAATGTGTCAAAGAAATCTA